CATGGAGAGGTCTTGGCTCCTATAGCCAGACAGGTCAGTTCATAATTAAATATTTTTATTAGATAATTAAGTATTATTGTCCTATCAAACGGGCTTAAATAATTAATTACAAAAATTGTTTCAACTACTTTCTCTTTTGAAGTTTTTGTACTCTTGTCACAGCTCCACCCCCACGCGATTCACACAGAACTACATCTATTCTTCTTTTTTGTCTCAGTTGTTCAGGCTCTACTCTACTACCTGTTGGGTAGTCATACGTCGCACCAGATCTTAGTTTATGTTGTAAATCATCTTGTTGTTGACTAGCTTGTTGTACTATAAATTGAGTTGATGATACTGGTGATGTTTGACATGGATTAGGTGATACAGCAACTGGCGATTGTTCTTTAGTTGGCCTGTTAATATTAGTTGGTTTCCTTATTGTGGGCCCTGGTCTAAATGTAGCATCTATTTTAGTTGGCCTTGATCTTGGTGTCTCTGGCCGTTTATACTTGCTAGCTCTAGATCCAGAATTAGAGCAACCTTGTGGGCGGTCACCTTGAGGTAGAGGAATGCCACCATAGCCAGCAACTCCTGGAGTAAGTGGAGTTGCATAGTCATGAATTGGTGATCTGACAGGACCTTTATTAGATTTATGTGGCTTGTTTGGTAAAATGCTAGCGTCTGTTGGTGATGGGCCTGTGGTGTGACTTTTAAAATAATCTTTTACTAAAGTTACTGCTCTCATTGGTGTTTTGATACTTGAGGCTTGAGATGCCATTATGTCCTTTGCTGGTCTTGGACTGACCTTTTTGGGATATATTAGTGGTGTGTAACTGCTACCTCTATCAGATATTTTACTCCTGCTGTTTGAATCTAAATTTAACCTGTTCCCTGCAGCAGTACTTTGCTTGCTGATAGTAATAGCTGCTGGAGGATTGGCATTCTCTTTAGCATTTCTGTTTCCTGATACTGGCCTGCTTTTAAGTTTCAAACGATGACTGCTTTTAGTTGGTGTTATTTCATGTCTTGGATCAATCATTTCTTTGAATACTGCTGGTTTTTGACGAGGTGTTGTTTTCTGTGGTGTAACTTTTCTTCCATTCCCTTGCTTGTTGACAGGTATAGGACTCCGTGAATGAATACCATTCCCTTTGTTGGTTTTATGTGATGATGATGGTCTACCAGCTCCAGTAGGTGGCAAATGATGACTGCTTGAAGTTGCTGCTGCTGTTCCACTTTTTAGACTACCGCCTGTTAATTTTTCTTTTGTCACTGCAGAAGGAGAATGAGGTTTACCTGATTTTTGTTTTGCATAAGGAGGACGTGATTCATCATACTTTGAAGTACTACTGGCTAGGTTATTTATATTTTTAGTTTCTTTATGAGACGAAATCGTACCAGCAGACTTGCTAGTAGTGGGAGGTGTCACTCCTTTTGAAGCTTCAGATTTATATTCATATCCAGTTCTTCTAGCAGTGGTCTGAGCAGAGACTCCACTGGTAGTGTCTCCTTCTTTTTTCATTCTATTTTGGGCATCTCCTGAACGGACAGAAGGATAGGAGGAATTGCTGCTACTAACAGAATAAGTTGACTGTTTTTGATGGCTAGCTCTTGCAGTTTGAACAGGAGTTGATGACATGCTACCTTCCCTTTTCTCTATCATTTGAGTACTACTATGTCCTTGTGATGCTGGTAGATATGCAACTAATGGTGGTGGTTGTGATGAATATTGGGTATCTGGTACAGCTCGAGATGGAACTGAGTTTTGCTGCAGTTTGTGTTTAATTTGCTCTGTTGCTGATGAATGTTGAAATGATGGAGCCACTTTTTCTCTCCTTGATGATAATGAGGGAGGATTCTCCACTCTTTCATCAACCTTTGGTCTTTTATCTGGGCTGAGTGGCTTATCGAAAGATGGTGAGCGGTTTCTTCTTTGGCCTTTTGGTTTATGAGCTGGCTCTGTCGTAGAGTGAGAACTATGAGACTGGTGTTCATCAACATGATAATGAGGAATTGAAGGTTTTGTAGAATGAGGAGGAGGAGCAGAAACAGCAGGAGGAGGAGGAGGGTGAGGATAATGAGGTGCACGAGTGCTCAAAGTTTGAGTTTTAGTGACAGGAGCAGGAGCAAGAGGAACAGCAAGAGGAACAGCAGGAGGAGGAGGAGCAGAAGGAAGAACAGAATTAGAAGGTGAATGAATACTTAAAGTTTGAGTTTTAGTGACAGCAGGAGGAGGAGGAGGAGCACGTTTTGATGATTCCAACTTTTTTCCAATTAAACCTTTGACAGCAACATGAAGATGATTCCCATAGAGAAGGACAGGACGATAATGAGTAATACTCAGTTTAGGATTTTTTTCAGCTTCTTCCTCGTCCCATGTTGCTCTGTTAGTGTCATGAAGTCTGTCATTATAGTGAAGGGGAAGGTATATGACTGTTGGTGGGAGGAGTGTCAACATCGTACGGGTTAGGCGAACTGCTTTCTGAACATACTCTCCTAACTTGTTTCTGCTATCATCAGTTAAACGATATCTTCCAGCAACTTGTAACAAAACCTATAATAAAGATTAAAATATGATTAAATAATAGTAGAATATTAAAGCTCTTGGTCTTTGGCTGAATTCTCCGATAGTGATCTGATTTTTGAGCCACTTTAAAAATTGTAAAAAAATCAAATTGTGA